GTGACACACACTTGTGTTGGCAGATTGAATGACATTTTTTTTGGGGGGGGGGGCGGTATATTTGTTGGCGGATTGTATGAATTCTGGTGAGTGATAATTTGGTTTGTAGAATGGATGAAATCGGGCTAATACATTTTTATTGCCAGACTAAATTCAACTTTTTATTTCGTCTCAATGTTTTTTTTTATTTAAAAAATATTTTAAAAGTATTTTGAAATGTTATATTTTTCATTTAAGATTAATTTAAAAAAAGGATAATAATTTATATATAATTTATAATATGTGAAAGAAATCGAATGCAGTTGATATTAAGTTTCCATTTTTTTTTTTCAAATGAAATTAGTTGTATCTGTCATTTTATTTAACTACATAATTTAGATTGATATAGCACATGCTAATCAATGTTCCCAATTAACAGATTTAAACATACTTTTTAAAAACTAGCAGAAATTCTACTCTGCTTTATCCTTTTGGCTATCGAAATGTGTATAGATCTGCTGATTGGTGATGTAATGATGTTTTATATTTAAGATGGTCAAAATGCAGTGTTGGATAAACTTACAAACTTTTGTTCTTTTAAAATATTTTTATTAAATTTATCTAAAGAAAAATATATTTGATAAATATGTTATGATTGAAAATCTACATCTGTTGTATAAACCCTTATTAAACAAATATAAAAGTTTCATTATTTAGAATTTGTAATTAAACCTTTCTCAGCCAAGATTCTTACATTAATTTTTTTTTAATGTAGAGTTTTTCTAAGTAAAGATGCTTCATTTAAAACTTTTTCTTTCATAAAAAAGAATAAAGGATTTTGTTATATAGTAAACAAATAAATTTCGTGGAAACTAATGGGCGTTGTAATGCAATATTTAGGTAAAAGCATTTTTATTTTATTTTTATTTATTTGACAAAAAAGGTTATAATTATTTTCCTATAGATTATTACATTAAATATTTTTGTAAATCTGAAACCGATCAAAGCTTTTATTTAAAATGAAATGAAGAATGCTGAAGTATGTAGAATAATATTACATAGACATTGAAAATAATCCTCCATTTGTTTATAAACAATATGTCTACCATATATTTTATAATTCTAAACCAGCCTTTACGGCTTGTATACGTATTATTTTATGAAATAAATCTTTGGGAAAGTTTGCACGTCATATGTATTTATTTATTCAAGCAATATTTTGTTTGTTTTTTGTTCTAATTATTTATTTATCTTTCATTCTGTTTCATTAACCCTTTAATATCTGTTATATTCTTTAAATTTGAATTACGTAAAAGAAAAATTTTAAGTTGTTTGTGACAATAAAATGTTAAGTATTTTGTGTTGGAAAATAAAAACCAAGATAAATAAACCGGGAGTGATCTCCCCTAAACTTTCTCGAATATTCTTATATAAAATAAAAGGGGATGGGAACTCGGGCTATAGACATGATTTTTAATCCATTTTAAATACTTAAAAGTTTTAAAAATGGAATAAAACCTCGTAGACAAATTAATTGCACACCAAGTGAACGCCAAATAAAAAAGCGCATAATAGTGCGCAATATTATTAGTACTTTTAAAATTTACATTAGTTTTTTGAGAAATCGGAAGTAGCGTAAAGTACTACTTCCAGTCAACGGAAATTACTCAAAATTTAACAGAAGGTAGAGAATTAGATCTTTTACTTACATGTGAAATTTCATTTATGTATCTGAAATAGTACTCAAGTTATAGGCTTTTGAAAAATTCAAAGTAGGAAAAGTACCACTTCCGGTTATCGGAAATCGCTCAAAAGTTGATACGGATCTACGATTTTGATAAAATACTTATATATGAAATTTCATCAACCTAGCTGTAACGGTACTCAAGTTATCGTGTTTACACACGGACAGACAGACACACAGACAGACACACAGACAGACACACAGACATACGGACAAGATTGCAAAATTATGTTTTTCCGTATCAGTGAGGTGTAAAACGTCGAGATTTGTAAAAATCTGGATTTTTTTTTTGCACGATTACAAGACTTTCTCTATACTTCGTATATACGAGAAAGTAAAAATGTACGCAAATCTAAAAATAAATCGGGCGCGATCTCCCCTAAACTTTCACCAATATTCTTTTATAAAAAAAACAGGGGATGGGAAATCGGGATATAGACATGCATTTTAATCCATTTTAAATAGTTAAACTTTTAAAAATAGAATAAAATCTCGTAGAAAAAAGAATTGCACACATGCGAACGCCAAATAAAACGCATAATATTGCGGAATATTATTAGTACTTTATAAATTTACATTCGTTTTTTTTTTTGAGAAATCGGAAATAGCGTAAATTAGTACTTTCAACCAACGGAAATAACTCAAAATTTGACAGAAGGTAGAGAATTAGATCTTTAACTTACATGTGAAATTGCATTTATCTATCTAAAATAGTACTCAAGTTATAGGCTTTTGAAAAATTCAAAGTAGAAAAAGTACCACTTTCGGTTATCGGAAATCGCTCAAAAGTTGATACGTATCTACGATTTTGATAAAATACTTATATATGAAATTTCATCAACCTAGCTGTAACGGTACTCAAGTTATCGTGTTTACACACAGACAGACACACACACAGACAACGGACAGAATTGCAAAGTCCAGTTTTTACGACTCGATAACGCATAAAACGCCAAACGTTTATATATTTGTATTTATAATTTTTGCCTGATTAAAATAAGTCCTCTATACTCCGGATGTGATGAAGGACTGAGGAGTAAAACGGTGAAAACTGTCAAAATTTCATGTTATTTTTGTGCACGATTACAATACTTTCTCTACAATTCGTATATACGAGAAAGTAAAAACAAAACAAAAGCACATTGGTATGTGATCACCCAACTTCAGTAATTAAATGAAATGTCCTAATCTATTGTGATGAAGCTCTTATTTAGGTTGTCAACGCTTTAGTTAAATTATAATTTAACAAATACACTATATGTGATTGTTGTTTTTAATTTTTATTATGTTTCTACGTTTTAAGTAAAATATATTATAACATAAGTTTTTCTAGTGCAAAAAGGTAACATAAATAGATATCTGTATTTTTATTGTTTTTCAGGGGAAATAAGTTATATTTTAGACAGTTTTAAATAATTTTCACTGTAATTAGCTAGGTACTCCCTTGTTGCCTATATATTTTTGATAAACGATGCTCCTGGGGGTGGGTGGGGGGCTGACACTGGTTATAGTAAATATTATCTATATAAATTCTATTTCGTTTGGGGGAGGGGCGGTAGACAGACGTGACAACACCCCCCCCCCCCCTCTCCACGAAGAGAAGCCAAGAAGAAACCCCGTTCTTAAGCTCGGAACGTCCAATTCTTGAGACCCTCCTATCGAGGTGAAGCAATAAAAGTACGTGGTTATGGCTGTGAACGTTTAGCCATACTAACTTATCCTTAGTAACTCACATAACGCTCTTTACATGAATTGTCGCCATTTGTATTTTCTTGTGACTGCCCAACTCGGCGATGATCACCTCAAATATCCATCTCCTTGGTCTGTAAAATATTATAACAAGTTCCCATTTTTGGACCTCACAATCCATGTAGCTGATGAAGTAGAATTCCTTCGTTTCTTTTGACATTTGCTATAAGTTATTAGAACACTGAAAGTATATTTGTATTCAGTATCATGAGATATTTCAACCGTATTCACCCAACCATATCCACTAAACAATATCTAGCCATTCCTATCAGCTCAACCATATTCACTGAACCATATCGACTGAACCATATCCACCTAACCATATCCACCCATCTACGACAACCTATCCCCCCAACCTTATCAACACAACCATATCCACCAAACCATATCCACCCAACCATATCCATCCAAGCATATCCACCAAACCATATCCACCAAACCATATCCACCACACCATATCCACCAAACCATATCCACCAAACCATATCCAACAAAACAAATCCACCAAACCATATCCACCCAACCATATCCACCCAACCATATCAATCCAAGTATATCCACCAAACCATATCCACCAAACCATATCCACCAAACCATATCCACCAAACCATATCCACCCAAGCATATCCACCAAACCATATCCACCAAACCATATCCACCAAACCATATCCACCAAACCATATCCACCCAAGCATATCCACCCAAGCATATCCACCAAACCATATCCACCAAACCATATCCACCAAACCATATCCACCAAACCATATCCACCAAACCATATCCACAAAACAATTTCCACCAAACCATATCCACCAAACCATATCCACCCAACCATATCCACCAAACCATATCCATCCATCTACGACAACCTATCCACCCGACCTTATCAACACAACCATATCCACTGAAACATATTCCTGCAACCATGCTTACCTAATCATATCCACCTAGCCATACCCACATAACTACGACAAACTATCCGCATCCACCCAACCATACCCACCCAACCATACCCACCCAACCATATCCACCCAACCATATCCACCCAACCATATTCACCCAATCATATTCACCCAACCATATCCACCCAACCATATTCACCCAACCTTATTCACCCAACCATATTCACCCAACCATATTCACCCAACCATATCCACCCAACCATATTCACCCAACCATATTCACCCAACCATATTCACCCAACCGTATCCACCCAACCATATCCACCCAACCATATTCACCCAACCATATTCACCCAACCATATCCACCCAACCACGACTACCTCTCCACTCCACCAAGCCATGTCCACCTCACTATATCCACCCAACCAACACCCACCAACAAAATGAAATAAACTAACACCCCGTCCACCAAACAATATAATTTATCCATCTTCTTATTGATCCTTCAAACAATTGGACCAATGATCAACATCAAATGACGTAATCAAATCCCGCGTTTTCTTTTTGCGCAAGAGCTAGTGACAACGAAATTCTGTTTCGAGGCTGAACATGGAGATAGTGGTGGTAAGTTTGAAAAAAAAATATCTAAAAATGTAGAGTTGTTTTTAAAAATTGCTTGCCGAAGAATTTCACTTGACGGTTAGCATTTTAACTGGTATGTAAATAGACCTAGATCTATAGATCTACGTTTACTAGAATAAAAATACTGAAACTAAAATAATGTGAACGTGTGTTTTTAAATTACTCTACAATGAAACCTAGTCTAGACTAGACTCTAGATCTAGATTAGATCTCTATAGAGTCTAGACTATTCTAGATTCTATCTGGTCTGTGTAGTGTGTCTGGTCTGTCTGTATGTCTAGTCTGACTAGTCTGTCTAGTATGTCTAGGCTGTCTGTCTTTTTGTCTAGTATGTCTGGTCTGTATGTATGTCTGGTCTGTCTGTCTGGTCTGTCTGTATGTCTAGTCTGTCTGTCTGGTCTCTCTGTATGTCTAGTCTGTCTGGTCTGTATAGTTTGTATGTCTGGTCTGTCTGTATGTCTGGCCTGTCTGTATGTCTAGGCTGCCTGTCTTTCTGTCTGGTCTGTCTGGTCTGTCTGGTCTGTCTGTATGTCTGGCCTGTCTGTATGTCTAGGCTGCCTGTCTTTCTGTCTGGTCTGTCTGGTCTGTCTAGTTTGTCTGTCTGGTCTATCTGTATGTCTGTATTTCAGCAACGGACGCTCTTCATTAACGTAAATCTTTTCTGGATTAATTCAGGGCGACAACTCCACATTTCGTCTCCCCCAACCACATCTACGATAAAAGCTCCATGTAACACCACACCATCATTCAACAATGGCCTCGCTTACAACAATGTTAGACGTTTTGATGATCCTTGTGTACGCTCTACACACTATAGAAGGTGAAATATATACTTTAAAATTTTAATATAGAGGGCATTTCGATTAGACGAACATTTGTCGTGTAATGTAGAATACACGTTTTCATAGTCTCAAATAAGAGCATTTTTTCTCTAAGCCTGTCAATAGCACTTGAGAGCGTTGCATATTAACTAGCCTCTGAGTAGCAATTTAGAAGGTGCCGCTGTTTAGGGCCTCTAAATAGCAAATTAGAAGGTCACACTTGTTTCAAACCTCTGAATAGCAAACTATAAGGTGCCACTGTTTCCGACCTCTGAATAGCAATTTAGAAGGTGCCACTGTTTCAGGCCCACTAATAATTGTCGAACAATGATAGACGCAACTTAACGTTAAGACGCAACATACATTCTGTCTCTTTGTGCGTATATATATAAATATATATATATATATATATATATATATATATATATATATATATATATATATATTTATTTATTTATTTATTTATATATTGCTTACATTCTGTCCGCAAGCTGAAACATGTATTTCCGACTGCGGAAATAGAACTGATGGCAATTACGTCTTGTGCGGTGAAAAATGCGAAGATGGGTACTTTATGTCGTGTGCTGATGGCCATGGTACTGAAATGTGAGTACACGAAAGGACGGCTTTTGGGTGAGGGGTATGTTTGTGTGAGTGTGTATGTGTGAGGGGGAGAGGGAAGTTCAGTTATGTTCAAGTCTGTTTCGGAGTATTAGAGAAACGTAGTTTTTTGTCTATCTGTAAAACATGTTTCTTTTTTTTTGAAAAGTCTACGAAAGCTTTTTTTTTTTACATATTTTTAAAAAACACCACCTACCCCACCTCCATCTCACACATACACATACATATATTACATGTATAGTTTTATATATATATATATATATATATATATATATATATATATATATATATATATATATATATATATATATATATATATATATATATATATATATATATATATATATATATATATATATATATATATATATATATATATATATATATATATATATATATATATATATATATATTAAGCACTGAACAATACACAATTAATTTTTTTTTAAATATTTACCACCTCTGTAAGTTTTGTATTGACTTTTTAAAAATATATTTTTTTTATATATAACACTCGCATGTCGCATTACAATCTTTCGATGAATAGATGTTAGTCAAAAACCACATTAAAATTTACTTAACTACCACACGAATAGAGACAATCAGCAATTTATTTTTAGGCCGTGTGCGCTTGGTGAGTACTTCCATGATAACGGCACCAAGTACACCGCGAGACTCATCTTCGACCCGTCCATGGGCGCGTGCATGTTCAGCAACAAAATCTGCAGCACTCCGGAATTTGAAGTCAGTAAGTTGATTCGTGACTGAGTTATACCTGTAGAGCCCTGTGAAGCAAAGGGGTTAAAACGAATCACCGATTTGATAGAGTTTTTACTACTGTTAACCCAAAAGTCTCCAGTTTAAAACGCGAGTTCGTGTCTATAATACTTCAATGAGTCCACCAAGTAACAATGGGTACAAGACTAAAGAAACCAACGCGACTGGGAATAAAGCTGACCACACTATCTCTTCCTATGCCGAGGTCCTTGAAACTGATGAGTTCTGCTTCATCTACCCCCCCCCTCCTCCCCCCATGTGTCTTGGGCACAAACGGTAACAGATGATGATATTTGCTAGACATTATAACTCTTCTCCTAGAAAAGTGACTGTCCCCAGCTAACGAGCCTCATTTGTCCGAGGGCTCGAACTCGAGACTTTTCGGTTTAGATTACAGTTTTTCTTACATTGTTACACACATGCCCGCTTTACATTTCAGATCGACACATTAACAACTGGCTTTAAGATAACGTAAATCTTGACTCTACACACTTACAATTTTAGGCGTTTATCACTAAACATTTTGTCGATAAATGAAGAAACGATAACGAAACTAAACTTATCGAAAGTGTCTTGGGCTTAAAGACTGAGCCTTCATAGATTGGCGCGTTCGTATGTCGGAATGTGCCTATATTCGGTTGTTCGTACTTCGAAGCGTTTCAGTCTGGAAACATTTTTTAAAAATATGTCTTTGAGTTCAGAAATTTAGCCAGTAGGAAAGCACGCATCTCAAAACATTCTATACTCATAAAGTTTCGAATCTCATAACGTTCGTATTACAGAACTTGCATGTTTCGGAATGTTCCTTCTCAGACAGAGTTTTTTCCATGCATTTCTTCGGGGGGGGGGGGGGGGGGGGAGGGGGGACGACGGACGACGACGGACGGACGGACTCCGCCCCCCCCCCCCCCGAACGAAATGAAATTTATATAGAAAATATATACTTATATAGTGTCCGTCCCCCCGAAGAAAGTCTACCTCCCCCCCCCCCGAAAATTTCAAGTGCCCCCCCCCTCCCCACCCCCCCCCCCCCCCCCCCCCCCCCGGAGAAAAAAGTCTGGAAGAAACACTGATCTCAGAACATTATAATCACGAAATATTAGAATCTCGGAATGTTCAATATAAAGAAACACGCCAACTCGTGAAAATATCATTTATGAAAATTCTCATCATTTATGTATGTTTGTATCTAAGAAAATTCTTATCATTTATGTATGTTTGTATTTAAGAAAATTCTTATCATTTATGTATGTTTGTATTTAAGAAAATTCTTATCATTTATGTATATTTGTATCTAAGAAAATTCTTATCATTTATGTATTTTTGTATCTAAGAAAATTTCTTATCATTTATGTATGTATCTAAGAAAATTCTTATCATTTATGTATGTTTGTATTTAAGAAAATTCTTATCATTTATGTATGTGTGTATCTAAAAAAATTCTTATCATTTATGTATGTTTGTTTTTTAAGAAAATTCTTATCATTTATGTATGTTTGTATCTAAGAAAATTCTTATCATTTACGTATGTTTGTATCTAAGAAAATTCTTATCATTTATGTATGTTTGTATCTAAAGTAATTCAACCATAGAAGCGTAAAAAAAAAATCCAGCAATCCTTCATGTAGACCGCTTGTGCATGTTCATCTATTTATTTATTTACCCTTCAACCTACAGGATCTTGTTTAACCTATGGATGCTCATATCGTAAAGATGGGGACTACCCACTGTGTGGAGGCCAATGCTTTGAAGGTATTATGCGAAATGCGAGAACGGTGTCATGAAGAAAGTGTAAGTCCCTGTCATTTCCGCTAGTACACAAGGATGGTTGTGGTAGGTGTTATTGTATTAGAATCAGGGGCGGAACTACAGTGCCGCCAGACCCCGCAATGCGGGGGGGGGCCCACGCCATTTAGGGGCCCACGGCCGACCATAAACAATTATTAAAAAAAAATTTCTTGCATCTTTGACTTGATGTTTGTTTTGTAAAAAAAGAATACAGTAGCTGCGGTTGAATTATCTTTATTCTATAGACACCACCCCACGCTCATTTTTCCTTCGTTATATATATATATATATATATATATATATATATATATATATATATATATATATATATATATATATATATATATAGGCCTATATATTCATATGGGGGGGGGGGCTAAAAAAATTTTTTGCGGGGTGGCCCTTTTTTTCTAGTTCCGCCACTGAGTAGAATTGATACTTCTTACATCGTTTGCTAATCTTTAGCCTGATGTATGTGTAACCCTCACTCAGTTGGGATGCTTTTACCCACTGAGGTGTTGTGGTTAAGACGGGCTGACCCTGAGATTTAGAACACGCTGACACCGACAGTTGTTGTCAAGTACTGGATTTATTCACGGCATCGAGCCATGACGGCGATGCAGTACAACAGTAGTTGTACAGATGAATACAAGAAGAACAGAAAAAAACACAAAGAGAAACAAAAACTGCAGCCCTTCATTAGGTCTACATCTTGGTACCGTCACCGTGTCCACAGACAGCAGCCTTGCGTATGACTACCCATAGTCCCATGTCACATGACACACATGACATGGGGCACAGGTAAAATCGCTCACAAGAGCATGCAACACAACTACATCAACAGGGCTACGGCCTCACAGGGGCCGCAACTCAATGACTTTAAAACTTTATTTGTGATCCCACCTTGGATGGTAACCATATGTGTTACATATGTTTGCAGTTATGTTATGCTAGTTTCGCTTTTCATTGAAGAAATTATATGTGAAAATTAAACTATAAACTTATTATTTTTCATATTCACAACGTTAAAATTAAAGCATAGTGTAAAACTACCCCACTTAATTACAAAAGTGACCGTGGTGGTCAGGTTGTAGAGCGTTCGACTACTAACCTTAAAGTCTCGAGTTCAGATCTCAAGCTTTAGTCCGTAGAACATCGCTGAGCCTACTCAGCGGTAAATAAGTACCTGACTCATGTTAGAGAAATGTTTAAAAAATCGGTTTAGTACAGTGCCGACCACACTATCCCCTCATCTGCCCAGGCTCATAAAGCTATATTTACTGACTTACTCGCCCTTTCGTGACGTCACGTTCAGGATGTGGTGAGATCAATCCTGGAGAGAAACTCGTGTTCCAACCCGCCAACAAGACGTGTGGGGCCGTCAGACGAGATTTGCAAACAGGAGGAAGAGATTGTGGAAAAGATCATGAAAAACAAGCGTAAGTTAAAAAAAAAATGTGTTTGGATATGTTAGTTTAAATAAACCGCATAATGAAGAGGATGGAGATCCTATAGGTTTAGCAACCATGTTGTATTTAAAGAAAACAAGTTTATCTCTTTTCTTAAAATTTTCTGTCAACTTTGGAACGATTACCGGGTAACGGAAAATGAAGTTTCATCTATAAGTAAACGATATCATAGTGAAATTACACTCAAATGTCGATTGACTTCCGATATCAGGAAGGGGTACTTTATTTCCGATTTTTGAAATACGTAAAACATAAGTGTAAATTTTATACATAGGTGTAAGATTTTTTTTCTCACTAGGCTATCCACTTTTAAGCGATTTGCGGTTTCCGGAAGTAGTAGTTTAAATAAACCGCATAATGAAGAGGTTGGGGGGTCCAATAGTTTAGCAACCAAAGTTGCTATTCTGATTTCTAATAGCATTTTACTTCTACCTAACCGATTTGTTTCAAATTTTTACGCAGGTCAAGACTCGATAACAGTGCACTGTAACATTAAAATGTGACTTGATTAGATGTTTAAATTGACTTTAAAAAAATTAATCGGTGTTTCCTTTGTAAACGTATATATGTCCACTCTAGTATGCACACATTGTGGGAACAGGGCATTACCCCCCCCCCCCCCCGTCAATTACCCTCCGGACATTCCCCCCCACCCACCTACATTATCCCCTGTCAATTACCCCCAGCCCAGTAGGACATTGCCCCCCCCCCCCCATACCCTAACTGTCCCATAAGAAAGTACGAGAACGTCGAGGGGAGATAACTCTCGCTTTACCTGTATTTGTTTTATTAAAAGTGCCATCTCCCTTACTGTTCAATAAGAATACATGACATATGAGAACGTTGAGGGAGATAATACCTGTATTTGTTTTTATTAAAGTGCCATCTCCCTTACTGTTCCATAAGGATATATGACATATGAGAACGTTGAGGGAGATAATACCTGTAATTGTTTTATTAAAGTGCCATCTCCCTTACTGTTCCATAAGAATATATGACATATTAGAACGTTGAGGGGAGATAATACCTGTATTTGTTTTATTAAAGTGCCATCTCCCTACTATTCCATAAGAATATACAAGAAAGTTAAAGGGAGATAACTCTCGCTTTAATTGCATTTGTTTATCCTAGCAACCAATTGTGTCGAGCGAGACTGCACGGGTATGATGGACGGCAACTACCAGATCTGCGAGCCCAAGGCCTGTCTGGCTGGGTACTTTGTCAGCTGCAGCAATGAGCTCCCATACGGGATGTAAGCTGGTCTTGTTGGCATGGGAGGTTGTCCAGATAAGCCCCGCCGGAACGTTAACCACCCCCCCCCCCCCATCAAATTTGTTTTTATATTTTAAAAAATGGGTTGTGAAAACTTTTAAAATTTATTGAAGTGTGTAAAATCGGGGACAAGTCGTTAATGATTTGCATGAAAAAAATCTGCATTTTGGTACCTTTAACCCTAACCCTAACTCCAGAGGCGTAGCGAGAGGGGGGGTGGGCGGGGGGGTGCGCACGGGTGACACCATTGAGGGAGGGGGACACCAAGGCAAAAAAATAGTAAAATATATAGAAAAATGATAATTCCACTTAATTAAGTGATTAATTTTGAGTGTGAAATAGTCTTTAATTAGGTGCAAATGGAAAGTTTGAGGGCGGGGGGGGGGGGGGGGGGGAGTGCAAATAGAAAGTTTGAGGGGGAGGGTTCAAATCGAAAATTAAAAGCTTGTCCCCGGGACGGATCGCTACGCCTCTGTGGGGGTGACACATTAAGTGCCGCACTGGGTGACACCCGACCTCGCTACGCCACTGCCTAACCCTCAGGGAGCTTGTAAAAAATGGCGGGGCTTCTCTGGACAAGACCCGTGTGTTGTATTGTCTTATTTCTAGCTATTTTGCACAACTTCCCCAAATAGGCCTAAACATAGTTGTTCGAATTAGTCAAAAAGCGTCCCCCCCCCTCCACCACCACTTAATTTGCCTAGTAAGTTTGGTCCCATAAAATTGATCTGTAAATTAAATAAATCCGTAATCCCAAGCAGCATTCTGTATTCTTTACTTGCGGTGTAGGCCCCAATATTATTTAGTGAAGAGCAGTGTTTCTTTCAGACTTTTTTCTCCGGGGGGGGGGGGGACGACATGAAATTTTCGGGGGGACGGTAGACTTTCTTCGAGGGGGGGGGGGGCGGCGGACACTGTTAAAAGTATATATTTTCTATATAAATTATATAAGAGATGCCTGGAAGAAACTCTGGTGAAGAGCTTTTTATATTATTATCTACCTCGTTTGGCGCACTCCCTTTTGACTTCGCCTGGGGCTGCCGCACCACCCGCCCTCTCCTAGCTACGCCTCTAAGGCTGCCCACAGAACAATGGCAATCTTCTTTAGTTAAACGATAACGCGGCGGAGTGCAGCATAACTGTGTATAATTCAGACATGTACTATTCATATTATTTCTATACAGAGGCGTAGCGAGGGGGGGGGGGGGGGGCGGGGGGGCGGGGGTGCGAACCGCACCGGGTGAAACCATTTAGGGGGGTTACACCAAAGCAAAAAAATAGTATAATATATAGAGAAAAATTGGAGGGGGGGGGGTGCTAATCGAAAGTTTGAGGGGAGGGTGCAAATCGAAACTTGAAAGTTTTGTCCCCGGGAAGAGTCGCTACGCCTCTGAGGGGGATGACACCATTAAGTGCCGCACCGGGTGACACCCGACCTCGCTACGCCACTGTTTCTATACCAGTTTCTAAAGTGTTTTTTTTTTTAAATTTATTTCTAGGGAGTGTCCCTTAGGATCGGATCAAACTGGATCCCAGCCAGACCAAAACTAAAAAGTTGATTTATGACCCGCTACTGATACATGTGAATATTCGGAAGAGCCCTGTACCGGATTGAAGAACAATACTTCTAACATCAGTACGTATTCTTTGTCTCATGTGCAGTGTTTCTTCTAGACTTTTTTCTCCGGGGGGGGGGGGGGGGGGGGGGTGCACTTGAAATTTTCCGGGGGGGTGGGGGCGGTAGACTTTCTTCGGGGGGGGGGCGGACACTGTTAAAAGTATATATTTTCTATATAAATTATATAAATTTCATTTCGGGAAGGGGGGGGGCGGTGAAAATTTTTCGGGGGAGCAAAGCCCCCCCCCCCCCCCCCCGAAAAGATGCCTGGAAGAAACTCTGCTCATGTGCAGGGTTTAGAATAGCTCTAAAACAGCAGAATGATAAGTAATGAAGGTCATTGCGTTGAGAAATAAATCTCATATAAAAATTAAAGTGATTAAGGGAAAAAGTTTTATTAGATTCACAAACTCACATAAAATCACAAATGAAATAAATGAAAGGAAAAGTTAAAACAAGTTAATTAAAAAAGTCTAGTGACATTTATGCGCAATTTCCTTATGTTATCTAAAAATAGCTCTGACGTATAATGCTGGGATGCGTTCAAGCTAGAAGAACGATCGGTTTGTAGGTGTTTATGTAATTTTAAAATTTGTGACCGAACGAGAGGATATTTTTGAAAACTTTCTTCGGCAATATTGTTCTAAATTATGGCAGGAATCGATTGGTACATGTTTCAAGTCGCTAAGTGGTCTGGTTGCCGAGATATGGGCAAAAAACTGAATTTTTTTCGAGGTTTTTTGGCTTTTCCGAGAAATACATGAAAGAATCCCGGAATTTTTATGGCCTATGCTCATTCTAGTAACTTGCTTAACATAATCGCTTTTGGAACTAGTCATCGATATTGCTTCGTTGAGGAGGAGATACGACTTAAAGCCCGGACACACATTCATCCATACATTCATTCATTCATCCATCCATTCCCAGAAATGACGAGTTAATAAACGCAATTCTCCAGAATGGAAATTGCGCTAAAAAAAGGTTTGGTGTAAGCTTACCAATGCTACACGCTGGCATGCCTAAAAACAAAAGCCTGGGGCGCTCAATGATGTAAATTGACCATTTGCAGAGGCGTAGCGAAGGGGGGGGGGACATATGTCCCCGGGAGC